CTGTGCACGAAATACTTTAAGTGTGTTAGTAGTAATTTCACAGCCCTGCCATTTGATTCGGTTGCTACACTTATATCTAAACCATACCACAACGTTTTACGAAGTTATTTTGCTTTACTCAGTGATTAGCCATCTAGCCTCCAAGACGCCAATCAAGTGACCCTTATATGCGTTTATCAATCTTGTTTTGCTGCAGTTGCTAAAAATCAGGGCCTTTGATCTCAGCCATTACCTCCAAACAGATGCAACATTCATCTTGTCCCGACTGTGGAATGCATTTGGGTTTTCCATGAAGCCGTTTGTTCAGACAAACATCACATTTGGAGATGTCGTGATTCAGAGGGTGATCCATTACAATTCTAAACAAAGAAGGAGCTGTAGTTAGCCTTATCCCGTATTAAAAGAATCCTTCATTTTCTAACAGTTTAATTAATGAACAAACTGATTAATTAATGTTTAGCATGAGCCAGACTGGGAAGACCTATTTATCCAAAGGAGTGAAAAAAGCGCGCATATTACAGAATTCAGTCTGCTTGTACTTACCTCTGTCTTCCAGAACATTCGCCTCTTAGATTCTAAAATGAAAAAAAACATGCCTATTAACATCGATAAACTTTTGATAAGCGAATGATAGCTCGGTCAATTCTAACATTGAATGGCATATCTTTTTCATATGGAACGCTCGTATTTTAGCCACTTGTGCGGAAAATATTACAAGGCGGCTATCAAGAGATGTAGATTAATTTTTGAGCAAAAGATTTTCTATTACCCTCATCGTGGTGCTCAGGGACCTGTCCTTACAAATCGTAAGGGTGATAGTTGGGGGAGGGACGGAGAATTTTGGATTTGTAGAAATAAAATGTACTTGATTCCCCTCCACCCAAGTCTTTCTAGAATTCTAATGATTCCCCCCCCCCTCCACTCTTCATTGGCAGTCAATATCCCAGAGTCTCACCATCTGATCCTGAAAACAACGTGATTGCTCCTCCCCCCCTTATCCTTCAACCCCTCCTCCTCAGGTGATGAATAATAACAGGGCCCTCAGTTAACTTACCTCCTCACACTGCTCGCTAAAGTTACACAGAAGTGCATGAAATGGCTGCTGAGGCCACATGCTAACTCCGGGGAGCTGTCTTGCCTCCCTTCCTCTCTTCTTCCGTGCTCTTTCTGTTCGTATTTCATGCTCTTTTCTTTCAATTTCCCGGCCAAACTCTGCACTTTCTCTCTCCCTCAACACTCTTTCCACCAAGGCGCACACTTCTTCCACGCGTTGTTCCAATTCAAGCAAAGAGCTGCCATAGCTTCTGTTCGTCACTGAGTCACCAGATTGACCAAAACGTTGATCCAAATTTTCTACTGCATTGGTAACAACACTGTTTCTTTCTCTGTTAGTGCCAGGAGAAAAAAAATGACTTCTTCAGTACAATATACTGCTACCAGAGTTCCTCTATAAAAATCTACCCATAACGTTGCTACTTGACCTGACTGGTGCTAACAGACTACTTTTGTCCTTTTTGGAATCACAAAATCAAACACTTTGAAAATTGCTGTAATGACATCCTAAAAAAACCTTTGAAGTTGTTCCCGCTCCAATTCACGCTGTTCTCTTTCTTGCATTCCCCTGTTCATTTGGACCGTCGCTCTGGCTACTCCTTGCACCAACGCAAGAGGACTGTTGTTCGTGGACTCTAAAGACTCAACATTGCAAGGTCTTATGTTCCCCGAATATGAAACCGCAACAGGCGAGTCGATAGCAATGTTGTTTGACCCAGCAATCTGGAGAAATGAAACAAAATAAGATTATTATCAGAAATGTTTATTGTATGGCTAATTCTTCGAGCGGGCGATACAGACCCATTTTTCCCGCTTGGAATGCTCGTTTCTATGCTTCATAAATCTATGAGCTGTTTTTGTTTTAAGTAAATGAAAATTGGTAATATTTTTTCTGTAGAGATATCGCAAAGCACCTCAAGGGGGCAGTCGCAACAGCGAAAAAAACAACGATTTTCGTGAGTTTATTTTGCAATTCCCTAAGGTATCTTTTTGTCATACAGGAAATCAATTTTTTCACCAAGCTTGTGGGATCAAATTTGCCGGATCATTCTATCTCATAGTTTTTTCCAGTTTTTATGTCGTAGTCAAGAAAAGCTGCGATCTCGGCTTCAATTTTGGTGATTGAGAATGACTTTTACAACGCCCTTCCCGCCCCAGGAGAGCTGCTACGTAGTTGCAGAAAAGCAACATCAGTGTCCCTCTCCTCATCTATAAGGTATGATGTATTCAGTCTTTTTTACCTCTGCCCCCATCCGTGTGCCTTGGTCAGGGCGTGAGCCATTTTGATTACGAGAAAGCAGATCCGAGCGTAAGATTGGGTCTATAGTGTGTCTGGCCACGAAAGAGTCTATCAAACCGCTGGCTTCGTTTTCCATAATACAGGTATTTGCAACTCAAGGAAACCAATGCTCTGCAAACAGAAAGCAGAGTAGGAAAAATTAAAAGTGATTGGATATAGTTTTCCAGCTACATTCAGTGCACTCGTGAATCAAGTTCCACCATTTGCAGTCGAACGATTTTCACACGTTGATCAAAGGATTGAAGGTTGAAAGCGTGGGCATAGTATGTCAAATCGTCGTAAATGTGCTCACAAGAAAAATCTGCTTTGTAAACATCTATTCAGGTGCCTCTTGGCTGAATCTGGGGTTTAATTATTTCTATTACGCACAACACATTGCATTATAACTGCAAGATATCTGCCTGACACGATAAGGGTTAAATGCTTGTCTGTCGCAGTCACTGCCGTTATTCACAGTTCTCGAAAACTAGATAAGCAGGCAATGGACAGAAACATATATATTTATAGATCGTTTTCATCCGGTACCAAGCTCTTTTGAAGCTATAACATTCATTCAATCATTTCCAATGAAAACGCTGGTTGCGCATAAGTAATGTTGGGAAGCCAAGATTGAAGCAAAAACTTACTAGACTTTCCATCCGTGTGTATACAATCATGCTCGCTTGTCAGGTTTGAAGGCCTGTGTGCAAATTTTCAGCTTTCTTAAGAAATCGCTACATTAATGTAGCTAAAGCTATTAATGGAGAGAAAGACCAAAATGGCGAAGGACTTCAAGTCTTAATTTAAAAGCTTAACGTGATGTTAGAGGCTGAAACGTCCAAGTTCCTTTCTCCCGCGCTCGATCGTTAGCCCATCGAAACCTAACAATTTTAAAACAATAACTTGCGTAAGTTTTTGCGCAACCTCGTTTTAACGTTGCTTGTGGCCAATAAAAAAAACACGTAAACAAAATGGTGTTCAATTTAAATCACAATATCCTGCTAATATTGGCGCAATCACAGCTGAGGAAAAACCCCAGAATTACACATAACTGAAAAAGAAACGTGGGTTGGAAGAGCTGAAATGCGGCCAAGGCGGTTGGACGGACAATGTGACAGCCTTATGCACCTACTAGCGCAACGGGAGATGAAGGTGATGATGACAAAGGAACGCACAAAGACAGTTTAATCGTTATGTCCGGCAGAGGAGTTTCGTTTCGTCATTGTCTTTTCTTTTCATGTTTCGATATCTTCTTCAACATCTTCCTGTTTGCCGTATTTATATTTTGGGAAGAGACTTACCAAGATTGGGTACAGGATTGGAGTGAAAATTTTCACGGCTTAAAGAGCATTTAATCGCCTTTGCCTAGAACTTTCGCCACATATCACTGAAAGGGACACCAATTACAGGAAAGCTATTGCAGTGCGTCATCAAGTCGCCATAACATTATTATATTGGCTCGCGGACACTCATCATCGAACGATTGGAAATCTATGTGGTGTCAGAAAATCCACTGTTTGTGGCATTGTGCGAGAAGTGTGCGAGGTGATGGCTATAGTTCTTCTTCCAAAATATATAAATGTTCCCAGAAAACAACATGAAGTCCAAGGAAAGATTGAAGGTTTTAAAAGTCGCGCGGGTTTTCCCTAGGTAGTTTCAGCAGTCAATGGTTTCCATGTCTCATTCATTGGATCTCAGCAAAGCCCAGATAATGCATGGAAAAACCTAATTGAAATAGCTATTACATTACACAATGGGCTGAGAATTTCGTCTCTATGGTCAAACTGTGATAATCAGGTTAGTGAACCTTAGTTTAACTAAGAAAAATGACCTGTAATAACTTTCATCGGGACCCGATGATCCCCCCGCCAAAACAAAGGCCAGAAAATGAACAAGAATGTTTAGTTTTGGCACAGTTTGAAAGTTAAACCCAGTTTCTGATTATCTTGATTAACCTGAAGACGGGAGCGACACAATGAAGAGTGGGAGTCAGGAGGCAAAGGGGCACAAAAGTACGGGAGGCGGGAGAACGTGGTACGGGAAGGGTGCGACTCTGACTCTCCCCCCACCCTCCCACTTACATCTTGTACTCATAAAAATGCTATAAATAACTACTTTCTCTCTTTTTTGGATACAGTGTAAATAGTTTCACCAATAAAGAGAGTCAAGATCTTTGGAAGGAAACTCCTACAATAGGGTCAAGGAATATTCCATTTGTAATTACAGTTGATTGATGAAATTATGTTGGGTCAACATGAAATATAAATTGTAAATTATGTAAATTACCAATGGCAAATTATGATTGCCTGGGGCAATTCTTGAAACCAAACATGTTTTTGATCATTTCAAAACCTGGACACCATCTCGAATCAATTAAAAATGCAGTAATTGCAAGTTTGCCAATTCACATGTGTAATAAAAATTAATGCTGAAATTATGCTCTAAAATTAGGGAGTAGTTTTGATACCCAAGATGTGACATATGCTAACTTTGCCATGCATACTTCATGTTCACATGAAATGCCAATTTGAGTGCAAGAGTAACATCTTCTGATCTGAGTATTAACTTTAGGTCTAAAGATAGAGAGCGGGAAAATCTGTCAGTTTATCTATAAGAAAGTGTTCTGTTTGAATACCAAGAAGATCTACTCACTCAGTGACATGGCCTCAGCTAGCATTTATTTCAGCAAAACTATTTTATTTCATTAACTTTTTGCTCTTGCTCAGTTACAAGGGACTGAGTTATTATACACCAGACTTTTTTGTTCAGTCTCTTACCAGAAATGATAATTAAGCAAACACACAGAGCTCTCTGTTGTAAATGTATCAGTGAGACTCAAAGACATCACTCATACCATCATCTTTCTCTGGACAACTGATGGAGCCTCACACACAAATTTCATCACTTTACACGTGGATCACAACTTTATTTTCAAATACTAAAACCATTTATTTACTAAGAGATCATTACCACTGTGCAAAAACAAAAAAGAAAAAAAAAGAAAAAATTAAATACACATTTCATTTACATCATTTAAAATCAGCATGTGACTGTACACTGTTTAATGCTCTGGAAGATTAAAAACAGGACTTAAAGGAAAAAACATTTTTTTTCAAAGAAAAATAAAAGCATGATCAATAGGCTAGTTTCGAATTTTCAAGTTCCAGACAGCCTGCAAGATAAAGCAGAACAAATACAATGAACATTTTTGTAAAAATGTAAGCAATCAATCAAATTGTTATTGATTTCTTTGAGAGACCAAAGAAACTTGTTATCCATCTCATTGATGATTTTCATGTTGTAAAGGTGCCTACTAATTCAACTGATATAGCTAGTTTGGCAATCCTTATGGCATCAAATCTACAAAACATTATTTTAGCCAGCCATAGCAGTTGCCCATGTAGTTGATGGAGCAATAATCCTCTTCTAACAAGAGTAAATGAAAGATTCTAAGAAAATGAATAACACTTTTAAACTTAAAAAACATGCTTTGAAAGTTCTTCTGTCATCTTCAGATCTGAATAATACAAAGTACCAAGTTGAATTTAAAGTGCGCAACAAAATGCTGACTGGACAAAACAAACGATAGTAACAGAACAACATATGCATTTACAAGGAAAGTCATGAGCCCTTTAACTCTTGGATCAAATTTCTCATTCTCCTCACTGTCAACCATATAATTCCTATAATGTTAGTTCAGAGAATTTAGTATTGGATCAACTAATTATCCCCAAATTAATATTTTTCCTTATTCCCATCACTCATCTGGTTGATATTGTATTAATTTTGTCAGGAGAAATTCTGTCTTGGTCACTAGTGGGAGTTAAAGGGTTAACATGATAAAGTTGGTGATCAAGAGTAGGTTCTCCCATTGAATGTGGATAGCTTCTTTGATTTCAAGTTGAAAAGTTGTGGATGCGTGATCTTGGATGTTAAAACACTCATCTGAACATCTGAGTGCGACATTGTAGAGAATTGTGTAGATGTCTGAAAATGTGAGAGGTCCTATCACTGACCAAGTACTCGTGTACACATGTGGATAAATGTATAGAGGTTTCACCAACATGGCAGGCATTACAACTCACACATAAAAACTTGTAAAGCACACATGTATGGAGCCTATGAGGGATGGGTCTCTCACACCTTGAACATGTTACCTATTTTGAAAGATGAAAAAACCAACTTTATATCAATGTTGTTACAATAACACTTAGCAAATTGCTAAACCTTTTTCAGCGTGACAACAGAAAAAGGGCCAATTTAAGGTAATTTGAAATAAAAGTTAGTGGTAGTGTCTGAAATGGAGACTGGGGGATTGCACTCATAATGGGTGAGCGTGAGGTACCAACTGACAACCCTTTCAACCAGATGAGCTGGAAATAGATTCTTTTTAAGGATTTCAGTGAGTTTCTTGATGTCTTCATGGAAACCCAACCATATGTTGTTGATCTTTTAGGCTCCACCAACGAGAGTGCAAATGAAACCCAGTTTGTAGGGATAAGGTATAAATCTTAAATAATTGGTTAAAATCAACTTTATACTTTGTATTATTCAGAACTGAAGATAACAGAAGAACTGTCAAAACATGCTTTTTAATTTTAGAAGTGTCATTCATTTTCTTAAATTTGTTACATATCTGCTCCTATTCAGACCTTTTGGCAGATAAGTGATTCCTTCAATAAAGGTCTTATAGCTGTTATGAGTAATTTTTGTTGTAATTATAAGCTTATAAAAATTTCCAGACAGCTTAGTCATGCTGACTTGCATACCACAGAACTTCCTAGAAAGTAGCTAGCAACCTTAAGTGGCCCAAAGTTTACTGGGTAATGTTATTTAAGAGAGTACTAGTCGGTAGAGCAAGGGAAATTTAAACACAGTTAAGTGTAAAGCAAACTGCAAGTTATGAAACTATTAAGGATCTTAATTTAAAGGGTTATGAACTAATTCCCAAGGCTTATTGTCAAAAGTTTAGAAACTGTGAGAAAGTCAGTAGTCAGCCTTAGAATTTGTAGAACTTGCTAGAAGTAAGGAACAGTTATTTGATCATTGGTGCCATTCACTGTGGGTAGACATGAGTCATGATAAGTTAAGACAGCTAATTTTAATAGAGGAATTTAAGAGGTGCATTCACAGTGATGTTTTGTGGAAAAACCCTGTCTGCATCACACTCCACCTGGTAGAGTTCCACCTCCTTCAGTACAATGATGGCTTCAAAACCAGAGAAGTTGACAGAACGATGGAGGACATCCAAGACAGAACAAGTTTGATCAAAATAAGCCCATCAAGCCACCAACATGTTACTATTGCCGAAAAGATGGTCACCTGATTTCTAGCAGCCTATGAAAGTGGAGGATGGTGCAAAAACAAAATAGGTTTTATCATTAAGCCATTGTCTTTATCTGCTGTAAGTGAAGATACCCCTCCTGAGTTCCAAGAAAGAAGACTCAGGCAAGCCCTATAAGTGAAGCCAGTGGCCTGTCCAAATCTGTCATGGATATTTTTCTACCCTTCATTCACAATGGTCCAGTGTCATTGTCAAGAGACATGTCTGACTCCATACCAGTCAAGATTTTGAGAAACACTGGAGTCTTGCAGTCTTTAGTGTTGAGTGACACTTTGGTGTTTTCTGAGAAATCGTCCACTGGTGCAAGTGTTCTAATCAGAGGAATCAGTTCCATGTATACCCCAGTGCCACTTCATACAGTTTACCTAACATCAGATCTTGTGTCTGGGCCTGTGAAAGTGGTAATACAGCCTATGTTATTATTTGAGGGAGTGCACCTTATCCTAGGAAATGATGTTACAGGAGACAAAGTAGTTGTTAATGCTATTGACACCTAGATGCCCAGTTCAGAAAAGTCTCCTGATCCAGTAGAGAAGAGAATTTCTGGTCTGTACCCAGCATTTGTTGTGACACAAGCCATGAGTAAGAAGAAAGAAACCAATGATGAAGAGGTAACATTAGCAGAAACCGTCATCAGCCAAGTCTTTAAGGGTGAGCAACCGAACCCCTCTGTTTCTGAGCCAGTATAAGTCCTTTCTGAGAAGAGTTCAGAGGAACAGGTTGAAAAGATGTCAAGCTCTCAGCTCATTGCAGAACAACATGAAGACCTGGAAGTTTCACACATATTTTCAAGAAGTTTCAGTGAAAGCAAAGTCTTGCAGAACCCCACCTGCTACTTTACAGATGTTCCTGCAGCACACTAGTCAGTACAGGAGTCTCTGGTATTCAGTCCATTCGAGCTTGTGTTTGGGTACACTGTGAAAGGACCTCTTAAACTGCTTAAAGAAAAGTTATTATCTAGCAGTACTGAGTCTAGTAATCTTTTACAATATGTTTCAGATTTTTGCACTAAGCTTTTTACAGCTTGTGAGTCAGCTAAAGCTAATATTAGTTCTACTCAGAAGTCTGTGGAAGAGAAGTATGATGCAGATATTGCAGAACGAAACTTTCAGCCAGGTCTAAAGGTTCTTGCATTGTTGCCAGTGCCTGGTAACACACTTAGTTGTAGATTTTTTGTTCCTTATGTCATTGAGAAGAAGTTAAATGACCTCAGCTATACAATAGTCACTCCAGATAAGCGTAAGCAGACACAGTGATGTCATATAAATATGTTAAAGCCTTCTGTAGAGAGAAGTAGTAATTTAGTTGAAGGACTTGCAAATGTCAATGTAGTTGTGTCTGAGCCCAAAGAACTGAGTGTTGAACTTAGTAGTACAGTCATGTAGTCATCTTAGTCCCACTGATGCAACAAAACTCACAAACTCCAAGGCACTGCGGAACTTGAAGTCTTAGCTGTCACACCTGGAAGAGAGTCAACACAAGGACCTGAAGAAGCTACTATAAGAGAATAAAGACCTGTTTCCTGATGTACCTTCCAGGACAGATCAGATTTACCATGATGTGCATGTCAGTGATGCTGCTCCTGTAAAAGAACACCCCTACAGTCTAAATCCAAGTAAGCAACAATATCTCAAAAATGAGATAAAGTATTTGCCAGAGAATGACTTTATTGAGCCAAACAGCAGTAGTTGGAGTTCTCCATGTATACTTGTTCCTAAGCCAGACGGAAGTGCACGGATTACAGAAAAGTGAACAACGTGATCAAGACAGACAACTTCTCTGTTCCAAGAATGGATGACTTTATCAACAAAGTTGGAAAAGCCAAGTATGTAACAAAATTCCACCTTCTAAAAGGATTCTGGCAAGTTCTGTTGACAGAACACACCAAAGAGATTTCAGCCTTTGTAACACCACAGGGATTGTACCAATACAAGGTCATGCTCTTTGCTATGAAAAATTCACTTGCTACTTTCCAGCTCCTTATCAAGAAAGTCATCACAGATCTTGAGGATTGTAAAGCATATATTGATGATGTGATTATCTTCAGTGACACTAGCAAAAAACCCTTAAGAACTACCTGTGAGTTCTTCATGCGTTTCCTTGCTATAGCTGCCTACTACAGGAGGTTTTGTTCTTGACTAATTTTGCCACTGTTACAAAACCATTGATGCAATTACTTAGTAAAAAGGTAAAATTTGTTTGGACTCTCCAATCTGAAGAGGCGTTTGAGGAATTGAAAGCCATGTTACAGAGTGCCCCTGTATCAACAGTACCTGATTTAAGCTCCCTGTTCAAGTTGGCAGTTGATGCAAGTGATGTTGCTGCTGGTGCTGTCTTGTTACAAGAGGATGATGAAGGTGTGGACCATCCAGTTTGATATTTTTCCAAGAAGTTCAACAAAAGTGGAAAGAACTACTCCACCATTGAAATAGAATGTTTGGCACTAGTGTTTGCCATACAACATTTCGAAATTTATGTTAGTTCTTCAAGTTTGGCTGTTGTTGTTTATAGTGATCATAACCCCTTTGTCTTTATTCATAAGTTGAAGGCCAAACATCAGTGATTGCTGAGGTGGAGTTTGATACTACAAGAGTATGTTTTAGACATCAAACACATAGAAGGAAAGGACAAAGTTATTGAAGACTGCCTCTCAAGAATATAAATTTTTGCCAGAAAGTTTGCAAACTTTTTTTCCTTGAAGGGGGAGGGTGTTACAAGTAATTGTTGTTCTAGAAATCTCCAGACCGCTTAGTCATGCTGACTTACGTACTATAGAACTCCCTAGTACTCCCTAGAACAATTTATCAAGTCAGGCAGTTATTGCACAATACTACTAGAAAAGTTCTTTGGTAAGCTTCTAGAAGGTTCCAACATAGTGCATGATATGAGTAGCAACATTGCAGACAACTACATCAGTCATGAACAGCCTGAGAGCCAGCCAGAAATACATATGACTAGAGAAATATGATAACTAGGAATCTGGAACAGCTAATTATACCACAATCAAATGTTCCACAAAGAACAACTCAAGGAGGAGGACATAACACAGAAAGGTCTGCTTCTATAGCTAATTCACAACAAAACCATTGTTCACATTGTGGGCAACCTGGCCACCAAAAATCTTGAGGTTCTTGCAACAACCTGCCCTTACCTATTACAATCTCACACTCAGTCTTGACAACAAACTTTATCAGTAGCTCAACAACAGTTTTCTAACTCAAGTGTACCACCACAATCCACTTCAATACATTTTCCATCTTCAACTACACAATCAGTCACATTCTGGAAACAGCCAGTCTTTCTATCTCAGTCAGGAATAGGGGGTTGTCAAGGTAGCAACACTTGTGCAGTTATTTCATTGTTGTTAGCAAAGACATACTCAACAAACAAATTGTTACTTCAACTAAATAACCACCAATACTGACTCCAAGCTGGATTCTTGCCTTCATGTCATGTATGATGGGGGAAATCAGGTATATGACAGTTTCATGCTGTCACCATCATATCTTGGTATTGTCAAAGCCATACCTTTTGTCAGAAGCAGCCTGGGTAGTTTGAGTTATGAAGAAGAGTTGTTTGTGTTGTCAAGGAGACTAATTCAAGTGAGGAATCTGCTCTGAGTTTTCACCTCAGTAGAAGACTTACCGGCACAAATGCTGCTTTTACTATAATTAGTGGTTTAACTATTTTATTTGTAAGTGATGCAAATTACAACATCATCCTAATGGATAGCCATCTCCACTTACCAAAAGGCGCCTTACTTGCACAGTCTCAACGCAGTAATATTGAAGAACTATTAAACTGGCTGAAGTTAAAGCTATCTGCGACGGTTAATTTGTGTACGGTTTCTTTCGTCAACTTCAGGTAACACTGTGCAGTAAGAAATGCATGTAAACATCAAATAACGGTAGTTGATCGTAGAGTGAAATCGACATATTTCCAGACGCATTGAAAGAAGGTTAAGATATATGGCAATTATTAATGTTATTGCATTTATTACGTTTAAGTTGTGTTGGGGAAGCAATTGGGCGGTATGGCTTGGTCCACTGTTACATTAAGCTTATGTCGACCAACGGAACGTTCACATATTAAGCAAATCGACCGAGCGACAAGTTTGTAATTACTACAGTGTAGCTACAGATTCAAACCTAATTTCGATTGTAAAACAGTTTTAACTACCAAAAGAGGTTACAATGAACAGCTTTTCAAGTTTAAAGCTTGTACTGAACAAATACCGATGAAGAAATGTGTTTTGTAAATAGAATTGGTGGATAGAACGAGAACAAGCAACAAGCTGTCTGGATAATTTTAAATCAGCTTTCGTTGAACTATAGCTAAAAAGAATTCTACTTACCCTTCCGACTTTTCCACAAGAACAAACTCCATTAAATCTTCCGATCGGATCACATTAATACCAGTCCAGAAAAGTGGAAAACGATGTTCTGTTTGTTCCTCAACGAAATTCATCAACGCCAGAATCACAAACCGTTCTTAGGCGCGCGAAACCCACAAAGCATGCGCACTCGTTGTGCAGCTGTCTGGCTGTCTGCGTTTCGCTGTTTGCGTTGTCATCTGAATTGCTCGCCCGGGAAACAATTCCCCTCCCTTTCCCACCCCTGCTAAGCAAAATTTTGTCCCCAAACTTTCTCTTTTGTTAGAGGATCTATAAACCAACCAGAATCCGTCTTTTGCGTAGATATTTTGACGACTTTAGAGGGTACTAGAAAGGCGTCTATGCATTATTTATTATCTTTTATGCATTTATAATGAAAAAAAAATGGCGTCCGCGGTGGATTTTCAATATTTTCAAGGCGGATTTTCCGTTCTTTGCGATCATGCTACACCTTCTAGAATACATAATGAAAAGTAAAAATGCTATAGAATACTCCTCATCGAAAATAATGGACATCGAAGTCCTAAAAGCGACAAAATAAGCAACAACCATAGGCGCCCATGTGTCCGTTAATCGTCGTCTACCAACATTCTCGAAAATTCAGAAAGTTCCACGACGTGACTCAAAATCTTCTATTTAACAATACCTTTTGGACATCTCATTACTTAAACATAATATTTACCGGGCCTTGAAATCTTCAGATAGTCGCTAGGCCTCGCTTGAAGTCCGAAAGTTCGGTTTTCATTTCACGGCCGCAATACGTGTAGATTCCGAGAAGGAATAAATTATCTTTTCTGTAGAAGGGAATTTAGTGTGCTATCGCAGCGCTTACAGAATTTTAAAATTCGCGCAGGGAAATTTTCTGGCTGTGAAGTCAAATACACAACGATCTAAGCGTGATGAATTTTACTTCGTGGGTTTCGTACAGGTAAGAAATTCGCATGTTTTTCGCCTCTAACAGAAAATCAAGGGCTGTTCTGCTGTTTTGTCAATTTTTTTCTCGCCCTCAATTTTTTTTCCTCGTGCTTAAGGTGGCCCATAATACGGTGGCCCATGGATACGGTGGCCCATAGATACGGTGGCTACGGTGGCCCATAGAGGACATGCCACTTTTTTTTTTTTTTTATCGCGCGATAAATGATAAATTATCAGAACTGAGCGCAGTCAGGCTTCTCTATTTGTTTTGCAACAAAGAATCCGCTAAATTCCTCATGCATTACTTTCAATTTTCAGAACAAACTTTGTTTCCAAAGGGTACAACGGTGTCGTCAGCATGCTCTACACTCTCATAAAGCACGCTACAATAAGCCAATCACAATCCCTGTTAGAATGGTACAAATGATCTGATTGGGTGTACAAGAGTAAACCTGCCTGACCGACGCGCCCATGCCTTCAAGTGTTGTTTTGTGTGTTCGGTTGTTTAGTGGAAGTAAAATCCTTCCATTCCCTCTACAACGCTTTGCTGTTCCAGCATGAACTCTTCAGGGATCTGCAGGGCTTCCTCAAACAGGGAAATGTCACATTTTCTTACTCTAAACTCGGCCAAGCATTCATCGTCCTCCATATCGTCCAACTCGAAGCGAGAAAAATGGTAAATCTAAGTTTGAAGATTTGTTGTAATCGTATAGAAGCAGAAATTCTTCTTCTTGAATCACGGCATCATCGAAGACAAGTAATAAATGCGCTCAAGCATCTCTGAGTGACATTTTAGGCCGTCAAATAAACTTGTGAGAGCTTTTTCTGACAAGCTACAGATGTGAACAAGTTGTTGCTAAACGACTCGAATTTCGCGGCTGCGGCGTGGACTCTCCGCAACAACTCGTAACTTACGAGAAAAACCTAAGCTTTCCTTGACATTAGTCTGTTTATCGCTCTATGATGGACAGTTATTTCTATTTGTTGGCAGATTAACCTATTGAATCTTACCTCTCCCTAAGTTCGCTCTCCGCGATCCTCTTTCTTCTTTTGGGACTTTCGCTGACGGTTGTAAGGCACTTTTGATTAAACCACAAGCAAGAGGGACGTCACAAGTGAATTAGCGAGAATTACTTTAACTGCAACAACCTATCGTCTCTCTAGAAATCTCCATATAATACAATATCTAGTTACATAGTTCATGGTCTTATTGTGAGGGCCATTTCCACCAAAAATACAAACAATGCCAACGATTCAGACTACAGAAGCCAGAAACAGTTTAGGCCCATGAGGCATGAGGGACGGAAGGGGTGAGGAGGGGGGGAAGCATTAGTATCCTGTCTTACATTAATTTTTGGTCGAAATATCCCGTATCCCTTTAATTCATGTGGCTAAATCAACTGGACAAACCCAGCTTGATGTATTGCGTGACGTGATTGTGCAAACTTTTCTCTTTGTCATACGACCTGTTTCACAGGTTCTACAAGTTGGAACCAAAATTAGTTAATGTAATCATTAAAGTGTAAATTTCTTCAGTCCATTTGAATAACTTTCGATTCTAATTCGTTACATCAACTAGTTTTGATGGTCGCAGGGAAACGTCGAGTTTGTCGCTCAAAACCGTTGTGGTCCATAAGAGCGTAACATCATTAATGACGAAAACAAATTTGCAGAAAGGAGGGTTAGTTCATCGGTCAGTTCATACTAAATATAGAAGTAGGTTAGTTCATACTAAATCTCGGGAGAAACTCCAAGAATTGTTTCGGAGTGTATGCGTGTTGTTTTGTAAATTTAAGCACTGCAACCTATTTTAACTTGTTTTTGTGTCCTTTTAAGCAACGCGACATGTCTGTTATGACCAGGGTGCTAAGTTTTACTCTTTATTTTTGATCTTCTCCACTCTGTGCGTAGTTCATGAACTGATATTTCAACGTAAATTATCGAGAAGGCGCCTCCCGATCACCTTTGTCTACTTTGTAAGTCACGCAAGCGCGCAAGCGTTACGACCGATCACGTTTACGCAACGATTTAGGACAACTCGGCATCTAATCTTCATTCAGTTCCTGTGAAAACCTAAAATCCTCAACGTAGAAGATAAGCGAACGAAGTTTGAACGGTCAAAAGGAGATCTTGGTCAACTCTAAGAATCATGCAAATAATCTTTGACACGAGCGCAATTGAGCAAACACATGGATTTGCGTTGTTTTTAAGAAGTTGGTGGATGGAAGCTAGAGATATACCCGCGGGTTTGAGGCAATTTGTGACCTCATTGGTGTATAAACTTTGCACTGATATGCTTTTTCAACCCGATTAACGCCTGCATCATCTATCACGTTGAGATGTATAATCGGTTCCGCTTGCTTAAACTTGGTTCAATGAAATAAGAAAAGAGTGCGTACTAGTATGTCAGATATGTGGACTAAAAATAATGTTGACAATAGACGCTGATATGAAAATTTAGTTTCGTTTCATATCACAAATACAAAGGGTTTGATTCTGGAAAGAGATAAATGTTATAACTCGCTTGCTCAAATTAGCAAGAAACACAAAAATGAAATGGACAAGTCAACCTTGAAATCATTGGAATGATAACAAACAATTTGTGCTATAAAATTTTCTGGATCATTCGGTCGTCAAACTGGACATCGATCGTTAGCAAAAGTCTCTTACAATTTGTTATTTGTAGAAGCCATTTCTGGGTCTGGGGCCCGTTTCTCAAAAGTCACGGTAAATACCAGCTCAAAAGGATTAGATATCTAGGGACGACTAGAAGAAGTTCATGGATTAGATTTTTAGAAATTATGGCTTTGGTCCACACATAGTTTTCGAGAAACGGGCCCTCAAGCGTCAAATGTGGGTTGACTGTGCATGGTTTTGGTCTCGTAAGGAGCTGTCCATGGCTCCAGAAAATTCTAACGGAAATATTCCATTCTCGTCAATAGTGTTATCAAGAATCCTCCTAAATTTTTAATGATCTGTCTGGTCTTTTCGACGATAACTTTATAAAATTTCATTTTCGTCAAAACTTCATGTTTCTTTTTGTCACAGAAAATTCTTAACGTCACAATTGGAACAGGTCATTCCATCTGCCAGGTTGACTTTAGTTTTGAAAAAAATTGACATTATAGAAACTGGGATTCAGTCAGTATAACTTTCTCTTAACACGTTTTAAGAAAGCAATCACGGAAACATAAGCAGAATTACAAGTCAGAAAAAATAATCAACACTATAGTAAGCGTCTGTTACAACTTTTTAAAAGTTTGTTACCTCGATCGTCCGTTTCAGCATCGGCAGCTTCCGGCCCAGTGCAGTTACATCTCACTAATTTGGACAGACGCACATACAAAGTTTGTTTACAAGTCTACAGCACATATTCCATTCTAAAAGCAAGGGTAAACTGGCGCCAAATTTGTCACACTCCTATACATGTAAGCATGTGTTTGAAAATGTACTTTTTTAGAAATCATCATTGAAATCTGCCATACAGAATCATCAGTTAGGTAGAAGCGGCCATTGTACAACGTGCTGGCGCGGAATCTCGAACCTCTAATGTATTAGAACGAGGTAATGATTTTCGCGCCGAAGTTTGAAACTTATTGCGTGATGTGCTAGCGAGCCGGTTGGTTATGGAAGTGAAATGGAGATAGTTGTCTGGGCAACATTATTATCCTTATGTACTCCTGAGTTTGTTTACATTTGGATCATTAGACAGAACATAACCTACAAACACGAGAAACCGAGCGAAAAGCTTTAAAATGCTCTCGTTTGAGAAGGAAAGAGAACCCCTCATAGAGTACTATACAGTTTGAGAACATTGGCTCGTTGATTATTATTATTTGGAGGGAATGCCATAATGCGATTTACTAAAAGCATTTATATTTAATCAAGTCAAAGGGCTATCAATGGGCAGTAGATCGTGAACAATTAGTACGCTAATCAATCATTTTATGATTTAATCTACAAGTCGTAATATTGCGTATGATTACGTGAGCTTGCTGATCTTTCAACAGAGCATGAAATTTAGTTACCACACCACATCGTCCACAAGCGGGCAGAAAACTGAAGGTTGTCACTCACTTGTGAAACACTAAAGTGAACTTTTTCATAAAATGTTTTATGAAAGCAATCTCTATGATGAAAATTATAGTGCTGAAATTATTCTCCAAAATTAGGCAGTAGTTTGATGCCCATGATGTGACATGTGCTAATCTAAAAAGAAACTATTAGATTGGATATGCGTTGTTTCACGTGATCAAGCCGTAGATTTTAAAATTGTGGATTTAATTTGACGGACACCGCAAGATTAGCTGCGTTTTGGGGAACAGTTTGAAAGTCAAATTGATGAATCCGGTTACCCCTGAGCTCACTAAGTTCTCCTATTTGAAATAATAGGTGGATTTGAAGATGCGAAATCTCATCGATGGTAGTTTTTTGTGACTCTTTTTTTGGTTGTTTGAACCATGGAAACAAAGAAAGAAATTGCGATGCACACTTCACTTACCATTTCTGAAAACTTTGATTTCATTCTTTATTCTTTTTTCCTTACCTTTTTTGTAAACCGCAAGGCCTCGTATCCCTGCATGAAGTGGGAAAACAATGCCACTTGAAATGAATATGATATCTCCAAGAAAACACTCGAAAATTATTATGAATCAATGTTGATTTCTTTGGTAGAGAAACTGAATGCAAATAAAAAGAATCAAAACGATCAAAGTTTAAAAAAAATAATCCGATTATTTTTTTTAACTTTGAAGAATAACTTATCACGATATACTAAACGTAATTCAGATATAAAAGTGGAGATCCCCAAACTCCTTATATACTCGTGTTCCGAAAAGGTCTGACCCCAAAGTTGCATTGCGCGTAGAAATGTTAAATTATTATGGCATGAGAAGAACAGGTCGGATGCTGAATACCATATGATCGATGCGTGGCAAATTTCGCGTCAGGCTTAAAGTGACTCAGTGGTGATTTGATTGTCGTTGGCGCTCGAATAAACTTCCACGTTCCTTTCCCTTTTGAGCTCCCATGCAGCCACAAAGAAAAATACATTCCTTGAAAGTGCACTGACGCTAAAAGTAAATAGAATGTTGTCTATTGTACGTGTTGATGAGAACATCAGTCCGTAAATTAAGCCAGTTCTTTCTTTTGAACAGCTAACACCTCTTAATTCGCTCCACCATGGCAAATTAAAATTAGCAAATCAAATTTGGAATAAGCATGCATGAAAAACCTCTGGAGTGAGTATATTATAACTTAATTGCAAGAACTTCCTTGCAACTAAAGGAAAATTGAAAATGATTAAATCTTTTGGCCTCTGAATTCTGAAGTCAAGCCCCTTTTATTGCATTAATTGTCTCTCTATTTTGACTTGTTGAGAGGAGGTTAATGTTTGGACATTGATTAGCCTGATCCAGAAACGTGGGCTGATAGATAAAAGAAATTGAATTAGGAGATTTCCCTTCTTTCATATGCGGTTTTACTTTTGTTTTTAAGATTTCGAGAATATTCGGGGCTGCGTAAATTATCGTCAAGCGCAGGTTATCAACAATAAGAACTAGTGATATTTCGAACGGAAAAACAAACAAAAAAACAGACGTAGATGGGATCGAAAAACCAGTCCGAAACACCCAACAGAAGGAAAGAAAGAGATAATCAGAAAGTTTTTGAGCTTAATTATTCATGACCAGATTAAATTTGTACCTTAACTTACCCTGACAATAAACTCTCCAAAGTTGAAGAAACAATTAACAATGATCTTATTGGTGCTGACATATGGTTTGCCCGAAATGGTATGAAGAGGAGCAGTTCAAAATACCAGGGGTTAGCGTTGGGAAAAAACAAAGGAACTAATGAGCCAGGGTTCAAGTGTGACGAGTCACAACTTGCCATATACAACTCAATAGAACTTCTTGGCGCAACAATTTCGAAAAGCACATCGCTAAAATATGTACGTAGAAAAGTGAGTCAACAGATCGCTGTATGAAAATGATGCAGAAACTGTTGCCTTTTGAGACTTTCGGATCAGTATAACGTTTTCGGTCTCATTTATTAGATTGCTTCAAAAGCTTCTGAAAAGTCGCACACTTTCTTACTAACCTACTTGCCTATTTGCTTGCTTGCTTACTTACTCATTTATTTACTTACACAGATGATGGCGTAATGTTATCGGGCTCTGTAACAGGCCCAATCACCACAAGTAATAAAAATAAAAAATCATATGATTTTCACCCCAAAATTAACCAACTGACAAGCTTGATATTTCCTGTAAAGATGCATTTTTTTCTGTTGTTTTCTTTTTCTACCGGCGGGGCTGCTTAGATGCTTGGGCGCTGGTACAAGAGGAAGGTGCGTGGAAAGTGAATTCGAGCGCGAAATGCGTGACAATCAAATCACCAGAGAAAAGTGAGCGAGCTGATAGGAGTCAATTAGAACGACGTGAAACTTGCCACACACCGATCACATGGTATTGAAAATTGAATGTATTTTGAACTGCATTAGATTTGTTTATCCCTCATCTTAAGTTTTCAATACTTCTGTGTGCACCACAATTTCTTTGTTTGCACGGGTCAAGCAACCAGAAAAAGAGTTCCAAAAAAAACTATATTGACGTCAGAAAATAAAGAAATGCATAGACCAATGAGTTGTTGCAGTATTCTATATCCTCTAAATCTTAAAAAAAAATTTCATAATTTCTTATTGCTCATTTGTTTTGGATAGACACGTGAGAAACTTTTTTTTTCTTCGATCCGGTCACAAGCAAGGGAAAAAGAAAAAATGCTGAGTCGTGAGGAGTCGAACCTCAGACCTTCGTGCCCTGATGCTCTGCAACTGAGCCACAGAGACTCCAAGCCAAGCTAAGCTATTGCTGCATACTGCTAGGATCAACAATGTGGAAAGCCTCATGTGTTGAATAGGAAAATAATGAATCATCAGCTCGGTGGTAAATGAAGAAAGATGTTTTCCGCTTTCAGCATTTCGAGCATGGAACAAAGAAAAAAATTGGACTCACCATCTTTCTTACACTATTAACTCACATGAAGCTTTTGATACTGCTGATCCTAACAGTTTGCAGGATGTGTGTTATATACGAGCTTAATAAGCGCTTGACTACGTTTACAGTAAGCTTAGTGCTACAGCGTCTGAGCTTGGCCTGACTCGAAGATTAAACTCATGAGCTCTCAAATTTTTATTTCTTAACTCTCTGAGACATTTTAGAGCTTCGAATGATTGAGAAATAAATTCAGAGGTCCCACATTGATAGTCCCATATTACAAGCATGACTTCTTGACTGTTCCTCTAAACGTCGTTATACTGATCCAAAACTTGAAATAGTCCACAATACTATTTCTATTTTATAACGATCACGTGACTGAAAGGTTCACTTCAAGAATACGGTCGCACTCGCAAATGTATTTGAGATTACAGCTTTTTAAACGAAATAATGAACAAGAAACTTACTAAAAGCATGCAGCTTATTCTCTGAATTATTCATAACTTTATAATTTTGCGTTGTTTAGATTCAGCACCCAACCCTCAATAGGCGACGTATTTACACAGCGTTTCATACATACATACATACATACTTCATTGAGACTCCCTTCAACAAGGCTTTTCAGTCACAATGTTAACTGTTACATAATACTGGTATTAAGAAAACTTATTTACAGGAACATAATTAAAATCAAAATATATTCAAAATTATTCAAAATATATCCAAAATTATTTGTTATGAAACATACTATTGAAAAGTATCCGCTGAAAACTATTAATTTTTAACTGTTCTTACTACTGTCGGCTAGCCAATTCCATTCCCTTGGACACCAAAAGTAAAATATCCTTTGTTCTATGGACAATCTACATCTGGGGACTACAAAATTGTTACATCCCCTTGTGTTCTTGTTGTGAAATGCTGAACGTTTAACAAAATATTTGCCTTAATAATCTGGAGCTAAGCCATTCATACATTTGAATACTAAAACTGAACCGTTAAATAAAACCTTCTCCATAACATCCAACCATGTAAGAGATCTCTGTCCTTGAGAGATATGGTCGAACTTCCCTACACCTAATACAACTCTGATAGCAAAGTTGTGTAACAACTGCAGTTTGTGTAGATTACGTTTAGATGTTTCCACACCGAGGAACAATAAAAAAGTTTACTAAACACAAAGCTATTTATAAGTAATGAAAGTATTTTCATGTATAAGAGGCGTTTAATTCTACTTATCTGTCCTAACTGTTGATGCAATTAGAGGCTGATTTAGTGATATGTACATCATAGGTAAGATATTGATCAATAGATATCCCGTGATTCTCGGGAAACGAAACTATTCAGATAGTTTTGCCAAACAGGGATAAGGAGATATGAGGTAGCCTCTTAATAAGTTGTGCTCACCGTTCAAGCGGAGTGTGGTTTAGTAACAACCAATGAACGCGGTTATATGAAAGTAAATGCAAAATTTTACGTTCCATTCTACAAGGTTAGTCTTTTTGGTTGTCCAGGAGCCCGTTTATTGAAAGTTACGGTAACCATTGGTCTCAAAATGCCGTTTATCAAATATCAGTGGCTTTGAAATTCAAAATAGAAAATGTGAAAAAACTAAACAGAACGAGCTGGGTTTTGAGCGAATAACCGCTATGCTATTCCTTAGATTAAGATCTTAGAATATGACCCACAAAGTTACCAAAATTTGCGAGAAAAGAGCCGCTTGGATAAATCGAATCATTTTAGAATACGTGCTGTGTTGTATAGTAATACGTTTAGAATAATCGATGATATCAGTCAGTTCCGTTTTTTCGTTGTTTGTTTGTTTTTTTTTTCAGAGTATCGTTCATTACCAAAGCAACTCAATATCCTAGATACATACGCCTAAGGAAATCTTAAGCCAGGCGTTCTAGACAAGAAGATCAGCATCGACGAGTTCTTTAACTTTGCCTCTTTAAATTCTGGGTTGTTAGTGAAAAACTTAATATTTGGCAACTTGCGATAACGTTTTGATAGCTTGATTATGGAGACCCACATAATTTGAAATTTCACACTTATGTAAAAACGTATCGATCAATCAAATTAAAAAAAGTATTATGGTAAATGATTTAAACTCAGAGTAAGATATGATTGTGTAGTCTGATCATCTAGGCCTAGTTGCTCGAAGGTCGATTAGCGCTAACCCAGGACTAAATCTATATCTGGGTTTTTGTATTTCTTTGTTTAAATGCCTTTTTGGAATAATTTTCTCTTTTCTTTTTGGAGCATCCAATAATCATATTTTGGACAAAGAGAATTAGACTGAATTTTCTCTCACAACTTTCAGACCTGAAACCAGATTTCACTCTAATCCTGGGTTATCTAAACCCAGCCTTGAACAACCCGGCCCTGGGCGTGAGAAGTCCTGAGTAGGTAGAGCCTTCTTACCAGGACGATCAGACAACTCCATTGAATCTAGGTGCTAAAGCTGTTATAAAATTTATGCTAAAAGTCTACAAAATTTGAGCACTTAACAATTATCAAAAGGAAATTAAAAAAATCATGCTTTCAGCTCCATTCACAGGGTCCTCTCTATTTTATCAACGAGGCGATAAGAGAAGAGCTTGGGATGGACGTTGTCATTCAATCATTGCCATTTGTCTGACTGTAGAGAGGATGGCGACAAATTGGGCAGCTGCGACTGCAAATTTAAAGGAAACATTTCAAGTAATGCAAGTTAAACTTTTTTTAATTAAACGCGAGAATATTCAAGTCAAGAGCACCGTAAAATCACGGGTAGAACTAAAAGAGACTGCAAAGCTCACAATCGACCCAGCATTGCTGTGGATTCAGAACTGTTCTAAAGCTGCACGCAAAGAGATCTTTTCTCTCGAGTGTTGTTAGACCAAAACCCAGCTAATCACAACAGCCAATTAGAAGTTAATATCACAAACCAATGAGAGATTCAATTGAAACAAAGATAAGTTCCTTCAAAAGAAAGAAGACGCAGGACACAATAATTTATTTCCACCCCTTAGTCCACGCAGCCAGAAGTCGAGAGATGGACAGAGTCAGGCAACTAACCCCCACACACTCCGCCACAACTCCACATACAAAACTGATTCAGAATTCTAACCAGATACCGTCAAATGGAGGGGACCACAAACGCGTTCTTCGTTTTGTAAGTTAATTCATAAAAAATCACGACTTTTTGAGCATACTTACACGCCATTCTGTATCATTGCAATGGCACACTCTCTATGAACCTTGTGTGAGCATGGCAGAATTTGACAACCGCTGAATGCGTCCTGAAAAAAAATGTTCCAAACGTCCATTAAGTAAAAGTATTTACAGGTATTATCCATCAGTTTAACTTTTAAAATCATTTCTTATTCGAAGAATTCCATTAAACGCTTCTTTTGTACTCAGAACCTTGCTAAAAAAAACTCAAGTGCTCTCTTAGTATCTTTCTGGATTTGTTCCTCAAACATTACATTTTCTAGATTTCACTTTCATTGTCGATAACAAGGCTATAATTAAAGCAGATGGGAAAAAGGTGTTGGCCAATATTTCCTCTTGCAGGGCCGATTTTGTGTGCAACTAGTGTCACGGATGTCTTTAGACAGTTTTTTGAAATCCATACTCTTGCAATAGCAGAAAGGAAAACGTTCCAATGTATAAATGATACGACGAGACATTATCCAATGGAATCCAGACATAACGGCAGTGAAAACTGTGTAGTTGCTTTATATTAACCGAGCAAAAACATTGACCAACAAAACTAAATTTATAGATAGAACACAACGAATAACATAATGTTTCACAACGCTATGAGAACACAAAATATTAATAATGCAGTTGAACTGATGACGAAATCCGCAAACACTGACAATCATTTAACAGGTAGACACGACAAACAAGAAACGATTTGATGTTATAAGTTTGTTCTGTTGTCTCACGACAAGGTCACTTGATGTAGAACGCAACGTTTCGACTGCTTTCTGAAGAAGACTTGCAGTAAGCAGTCGAAACGTTGCGTTCTACATCAAGTGACCTTGTGGTGAGACAACAGAACAAACTTATGATATCACCCAACTACCACGATGAACAACAACCTATTTCATAACAAGAAACGATTTGTAACGAACAAGACAGACAAATCTCCTTCTCTGGAAATTTTGCAGCAACACCGTGTTAATGCGAAAAGTAAGTCACTACCTCCAAACAGATGCAGCACTCATCATGTCCTGAATTTTCTCGACAAGAATGTCTGCCTTCCAGCCTTTTGTCCAGACAGACGTTACACACATCGCAGTGGAAGGAGCGGTCTTTGAAGATGCTGAAACGAAAACAGGAACATCACTTCGCAGGTAAATACTCGAGCAAACTTAACATGACTCGTAAAGAAAATAAGTTGCTTAAGCAAAGTGAAAACCCTATATTTCTACTCGATTCTATCTACAGAATGAAATCCTGATGCCTATGAGGAAGCAAAAATCGATATTTGATATATCTTGAATACGATTTCGCAAAGACGGAGGAGAAAACAATGGCGGTGTTAAGTTTCATATGCGTATCGATCAGGGCTTGTCTCTCTCTTATTAAGCGTTGCTCTCGTGCTTAGGCTAGCGCCACAGTTTTCTTTCCATTCATACGATAACACTTGATATTGAAGCAGACCAATTACTCCCTTACTCTTTTGTAAAAAAAGAATATCATCCAACAAACGAAAAACGAACAATTTTGCCATGGATATCGTTTCACCTACCGGCAGATACCACATTTTGTGCAGTGATATGGATTTTTGTCTGTGCCCGTGAAGTGTTTACACATAGAACAGAAATATGCCGAGAACTTTGTTTTACATCTGGCACAGGTTTGGGCGTCCTGGTTGATCTTAAAAAACAAGAAAGCATTGAGAGCAAATCGCGTATAGTCTGAATATAACTTCTTCATTTCCAGATTTGTGAAATTTTGAATAAATGATATGTCTAAATACCTCTTGTTGATGGCCACAAACCGAGCACTCAACATGACACGCCTCTCTTGCTTTGGAATTATCATTTGAACACCCAGAATTGTTATGACAACGATGGCAAGGAAAGAACTTTCCGCAGCATGGGAACTTGACGCGACAGAGCCGCTTATAATGTTCACAGAGCCATTGTGGACCCTCGACATCAGCGGAGGTTTGCGTAGGTGTTCCTCCTCCACCACTTATCGGGTTGCTGACTTCTTCTCTGTCATTCCTGCGTTCCGCTTGTCTTGTTTCACTTGCCTCCCTTTCTCTTCTTTCACGTGCTTGTTGTTCTTTCCTGACCCGCTCTTCTTTTCTTCTTCGTTCTTTTTCCTTCATTGCCTTTTCTTTTTCTTCCTTTCTTTTCAAGTTTTTTTCGACAAGGGAACAGGTTTCGGCCACTCGTCGCTCTAGGTCAGCTAAGGAATCATCATTTGAGAGAGACGGTGGCTCTTGGTTAGCAGTGTCCTGATCTGCAAGTGTTCTTGTTTCCCATGTGAGATTTCTGTTCATGGCTGCCTGTGACAAAGCGGAGATTTCCATTTCAGGGGATACCAGGCCTTGGGTAATTGTAGTGGTATTAGATAAAAATGCAGGATTTCCATTCATCACTTTAAAATCGTAGTTTCTCTTCCGTTGTACTTCAGGATCAGTACGTTGATCCTTGACTTTTCTCTGTTGTGTTAAAAGGGGTGTTTGCTTCAACGGCGTGTCACCATTCATCAAAGTACGCGGAGGTACAATTCGCGGGTCATCGCAGGAAAGGGTTTGGAGATGCTCCGATCTGTTGCAGGGAAGAGAAAGTAGAGGACGAGCAGGCACTGGTAGATCCCAAACTGCAGGGTTAGGATCGAAGGAGCCGTAAGGGTTTGGACCTTTTACGTTAGCAGATACTTTTGAGCTTTCAGAACGAAACGATGGGGCTTGAAAGGAGTAGTCTTGATATTCTTGCTCATTAGTTAAACAAGATGACCCTTGATTCCTTGAAAAAGTATTGGAAGACCCTCCATTGGCATTTTCCGCTGTATTCCTTATGCCATCGATAGGAGTGGTAATGCTACTGTCATCTGTGTGGCGAGCAAGAAAGCAAGGCCTTATACCAAAGAAATTTGATTCTTTTTTATCTACGGTGTTTTGCATATCATCTCGTGGTTTAACCCTCTCAGGCTTTGCGTCCTTGTCGTTCCAGTTAATAACCGATTCGAGATTCTCGTAACCTCGGCTCCTGTTAGAGAAAAATGGATCTTGTCCTCCACCTTTTAAGCCTAGAAATTTCCCAGGCGTTGTGTTGTGACTTTTTACTGATAGATGCTCTTTACTCTTGTTTTTACTCTCTTGAGATATCTTCAGTGACTTAGAATCGACTTTACGTTCTCTATTTCTTCGGCTTTCATCCGTAACATCATTGCACCAGCTGGTTGAGGCAGCAGCACCACCATGACGCTCCACCTGGTCAGTAATTCGTGGAAGGTTGTCGGATAGACCACCTTCCCCTTGAAAAAGTGGTTCAGCAGATCCAGTTGAGGAATAACGAGGATGACAGTTTTGGATTGCAGAACTACCGCACGAAGCATTTTTTACTGCACCATCAACTTCATCATCCATAGAATGCCCTAGCCAAACATCGGTTTGAATACACTTATCCAGGTTTTCTTTATTCTCACGTAATTTGCCTTCCGTTTGAACCCTCAAGGTTAATGGCGGAACGAGTGGTGGTTGATTTATCTGTCCTTCCTCTGCATCGTTGCTACTATAGTTGAACTCTGAAACACTGAGATAAGCCATGCTAGATCTTTCTTCCTCTGAATTTGCAACGTCTGGAACTTCTCTTCCGCGTTTCTCCAATTCTAAACCACACGAACGGACGGAATTCATTGACGATTTAACTTTCTCTGCTGGCTCTGACCTTGACCTTCTGGACACCTCATCAGTACCTTCTTCACCAGTTGATGATGATGATGATGATGACGAAGATGATGATGACGATGACGATGGAGGTAATGATGGTGATATACTTACTTCACTGGATGATGATGTGGGCTCCACCAGATTTTCAGACTCATCAGAGTCACTGAGCTCTGTTTGAGTACTAAGATCACATGTTGAGGGAATACTTAAGGAATCTGTTTGTGTCGCTGATTCCGACAAGAACGACTGGCTGGAAAGCAAGGTTGGGAGGGGAAAAATACGGCCTGGGCGTTCGGTTCTAAGCTGCATTTCTAGCGGCTGGTGCTCCTAAAAAGAGAACGAATCAAAAACTATAACAATAGCCAAAAACTAACTTTTGATCCTGCTATGGAGTTTAAGGCAAAAAGAGGCTGTTCTCTAATTTGAAAGACAACCATATTTTAGATTTCTTCATTGTAATGCACAAATCCCTAAAATTAGCTGAAAAAGCGGTAAGAAACATTCTCACTCTGACTTTGTCATATCTTTGATTTTGTTATATTGGTAAGGTGGATTTTACATTTAGTAGATGAATCGCTGCATAACAAGGACTCATCATCATGGTTGAAGAACAAGTTTCATGCCTAAAGTGATGAATACAATATTCAAAACACTTACTCTCATTGAAATATCCCTTGCGTTTCCAGTCAGATGTGACGCAACACACCAGGCATTATCACTTTTTGTCTCGAAATGAATGCCAAAACTACGAGCACATTTTTCCATTTTGTCAGCGATGACCTTCTCAATAAGAGAGCAATTGCACGGTTGAACTTCTTCTCGAACAATCTCAACTTTTCTACGGCTTTGAGAATAGTGAATCAAGTGAGTTTTCACTTTGATGGCGTCTTCATGGCACTGAATTACTATTTGCCCCATGGGTGGACCTTGGATTTTCAACACGAGCTGGCTGTCTTTGACTACCACGTTCACAACCTCACCAAGCTCGTCTTCATTGGTTAAAATTTGCTTTAAAAGCTTTCCGAATAGAAAATCCGCAATTACTTTGTCTTGGAAGATAAATGCTAGGTTTCCTTCGCAAGTGTTCTCTGTGTTGACGAGAACCAGAGATTGCGTTTCAGATTCTGAACCATCCTTAGCTGCCGATAGCACGAGTGACAAAAGGGAAAAATCACCAGAAATCGAAGAAAGAGTTCTTTCCGCAGAAACTGGAAGTTCCAATTCTATGAAATATTGTATTGCCAATTCTATGTTCTGATGGCTGCATGAGATCAAGTGAGGCAAGCTGTTTTCTACTGCATTCACACTCCACGCATTTATTTCATTTAGTGCTGAAATATCAATCCTACGAGATATTGGACACTCCACAAGAAATCTGCAAGATCCTCTCCTCCGATTATTATCAGTTTTCAGTGCCAAAGTTTTGAAAGTTTGCCTCGATTTCCTTTCTCCAAAGTTGTCATCTCTATGTAAAGATTTTGTAAGCTGCTTGCTTTGAGAGTTACAGGAAGTATCTGTATCGTTTTCGTTAGTGACTTTTCGATTGTTCATCACCCCAAGAGGCGTCAAAAAAATTAGGTGGTGCATAACTTGTTTTCCAAGACATTGTATGTTTGAACTAAAAAACGCAAACTGAAGCTCTTCAACGAGCACTACTTGAGATGCCTGCGGAGACTGTTGGTTTGACAGGAAAGAAAATAAACTATGCACATCAGCTATCATCTCATACATTTCCATTTCTACAAACGTCTGAAGGATTACTGCCAGAGCAATCATCAAGTTTGTATTTTCGTTAAGAAATATAGTTTTGCTTTCCGGTTTAACAAATCTCTTCGCTTTTTCCTTAATGAAGTTCTTCAACCGTCCGTACTCATTTTTTAATCTCTTTTGAACTTTCGGGAAGGTTTCGCACGTCCTAGATTTGATATGACACACAAGAAAAATCACTCTCAGCAAAATGACTTCAGAACAATCCAAATGATCATAAAACATACTTGCATATGTACACGAGAGAAAGAGAAAAGCGACACTTTGACCCACTCCAACGTTAAACAAACAAAGACCAGCTTTGAACCAGTTAAAGCTCAGCTTTGCACACAATTCCTTGGAGACGGAGCAATTCACAAAATCATCACTTTCTGAGAGTGCTCCTCGACAATTCCAAAGATCAGTCAGTTGACGCTGGTTGAGAACCCTGGTTATTTCTATACCAAACTCAGAAACCAGAGTTTCAAGTTTTAGTTGTTCTTGATGATCAGCATTAGGAGATGGTGTTCTTCCTCTTTGTGAAGACAATTCAATGAATTTTGGCTTCAACTCGCACTCAAATGAGACTTGGCAAATTCTTTCCACATTTTCTAGAACTGTCTGACTGTGCGTTAAAGATTTTTCTTCACATCCATCGAGCCATTCTAGCCTCGCAAGACCTGCATTGCATTTGAGAACATCGGGGTGAATAGCACCAAAAGCTCCAGTGAAAATCTCTGATGCATCGGTAAAGCATTGCCTAGAACGTGCGAAGTTTTCCAAGTGGAGGAAAATAAGCCCCTGCTTTGACAGAATAGAAGCAAATATTGGGTGATCTGCACCACATCTTTCACGAAGAACCGGTACAAGATAGGAGAAATAGCTACAGACAAGGTCAAGATTACCTTGATAAAGGTGAATGTCGGCCACAGTCTCCACAATTGTGACTGAGAAGTCTAGTAAAAAGTTAGTACTACTATCAACAAGTTCCTTCAACCCTTGCAAGGTCGATATCTTATTATCAATAAAGATCGTGGTCCCATTAGAGACTTGAAGCATCGAACAAACTAAACGGATTTTCAACAAAATGCAGGTTAAGAGTCCCTTGTTTTGGTGTAATTTTGTTTCACAAAATGCCTTTAAATTCTCAAGTTCGTCCAAAGCTTTTCTAAGATTCCTGTTATCCAAAGAGGTTAGGGCTTCATTGTAATCAACAATTGCAGTGATTCTTGGTTGTATGGCAAAGCGGCTTACATTAGAAAGGAGATCGTTTTGTAATTGGAAGTCGGTTACATAACTTCTTTGAGCCTGGTGCACTAGTCGTAAGTTGTTTGTTATTGTTGATATTTCCTCCTCGACAGTGACACACTCGTTTCCCGTTTTGACTACCTCAAATATCGCAAGAGCTCTTTGAAGATTAACTTTTGCGTTTTGGAAACTTCCTTTGGTAATATACACACAACTTAAGTTGTTAAGGGCAACTCCAAGGCTAATAACTGATTCTTCGTCTCCGACATTCTCAATATACTCTTTTAACTGCTCAAATACTTTCTCAGCTATATCATCACAAATCGCGATTAAAGCAACAGCACCAACTACATTGGCGAAGCGGACAAAGAAGTTGTTCTTAGGAGTTGTTTGGGACAACAAAATTGCCCCAGTTCGCAGACTCCACGCCACATTCTCTATCGATATTTTCTCTGCCTTGTTTACTATCTCTATCTCCTGGAAAGTGGGTTTGGATAACTCACTTGGCAACAAGTCTTGGAAATACTGGTAAGATTTTTGTAATGATTCTTTCGCGTGAACTAAGTTCCCTTGTTCCAGATAGTAAACCGTTAATCTAAGGGATTCAGTTCTATCTGGAGGATCCATTTTCCATGCTCTAAGATAGTGAAAACAGCTGGTTCATTTGGACTAAGTTCCTTTACCTGAAATGACAGTGATGATGATATCGATGGTTGTAAAGATTATTTACAGAATACTTTGCTCCACCATAATATAACATTCATTCTCATTTAAAACAGTTGGACAAAAATGGAAACATGAAGTGAACCGATCCTTGATAGAGTCCTCTATGGGTTTGTTAGTTTTATCTGTATTAAGGGACTAGTCATTGGAGAATTAGTCGTTAAAAACAGAGTATAAAGGAGGACTTAGAAAACTGACTGTAAATCAACCAACTAACCCCCGCTTCCCCCCGTGATAAATATTGACAGGTCCTTAAACGACAGGTCCACAAATCCACATCACTTACATATCTTACTGTACATTTCGGGTAACCTCTTGTCAAGTTGTCTCACCCGTTAAATGGAAAAAAGCGAAGGCCTAGAGTAGAAATACTTTTCTGTTCAAGCCGCTAGGATAACGATATGTGTTTACTAAAGAGTTAGAGTTGACTAAACTCGTATTTGGCGAACAAACAGAGGGGTAAGAATTTTCGTGCGAGCCCGTCCACGATTAGACTCCCACTGCTCGGTTGTTACGTGACGTTGGCAGCGAGCCCGTTGGTTATGGAAGTGAAATAGATATAGTTGTCTGGGGCAACACTATTATCCTTATGAACATAACGTCACCCCATGTCGTCCAACACTCCTGAGTTTGTTTCGATTTGGATCAGTTGACAGAACATAACCGACAAACACGAGAAACCGAGCGAAAGCTTTAAGATGCTCTCGTTTAAGAAGGAAAGAGAACCTCTGATAGAGTACTATACAATTTAAGGAGGTTAGCTCGCTGATTCCTATTTTGATCGGACGCCATTATGCGATTTACTGATGATGTTTATATTTAATCAAGTCACTGAGGCCTATCAGTGGGCAGTGGATCGTGAACAATTATTATGCAAATCAATCATTTTATAATTCAGTCTAGCATATGATTATGTGAACTTGTTGACTTTTCGACAGAGCATGAATTGAAAATTTAGTTACCACACCATTAGGTCCACAAGCGGACATAAAACTGAAGATGATCACTCGCTTGTGAAACACTTTAAAGTGAACTTTCTCATAACATGCTTTAAGAAAGAAATCACGGAAACATACACAGAATTACAAGTCAGAAAAAATTAACACTATAGTAAGCGTCTGTTACAAATTTTTAAAAGTTTATTACCTCGTTCGTCCGTTTTCTCAGAACGCATCAGCAGCTTCCGGCCCGGAGCAGTTATATCTCACTAATTAAGAAAGATGACACTACGCAGTTTGTTAACAAGTCTACAACACATATTCCATTCTAAAAGCAAGGGTAAATTGGTGCCAAATGTTTTACACTCTCATATACGTGTAAACATGTGTTTGAAGATATGCATGGTTAAATATCAACGCAAATAAGCTACAAATTTTACAAATACAAAGCCTTAGAAACCAGCATTGATATTTACCATAGAGAAACAATCCGCTAGGTAGAAGTGGCCATTGTACAACGTACTTGCGCGGAATCTCGAACCTCTAATGTATTAGAACGAGGTAACGATTTGCGCGCCCAAATTTGAAACTCATTGCGTGATGTACTAAAAATAGTAGCTTACAGCTACTGAAGTAGCTGACACTTCCTGGGTTGTGCCTAAATCCTGCCGGCTAGGAGCACTAGTGACGAGTTTCCGAGTCGGGTGAGGTTTTTCCATAAATCAAGAAGTAAATGAAATGAGCTAAATTCATTTTAAATGCATGAAGTACCTCTAACCTGTAGAATTTTCTAAGCCACCTAAGATCCTACCGACTATCTAGAGATACACGACCAAGAAACAAGAAGATGTTCATGAAAAAAGTGATTCTAATGTAATGTAACACTAAATGAAATTCCAAAAAGTAAAATTCAAAGCAAACTGTAATAAAAATTGGGCAAAGTCGATTAAAATATGCAAGCTGTACCTCTAGCCGGTAGTATTTTCTAAGCCTCCTAAAATCCTACCAGAGAGAGGTACAAGACCAAATAAAATAAATGTACATGCACTCTTGTAAAAATTGATTCCAAAGAGTGAAACTACAACTTGAAGTGTACAAAAGTAAAGTGTGGAGCAAACCATAATAACAATTGGGCAAAGTTCACAAAGTATACCACCTGTACCTCAAGCCGGTAGTATTTTATAAGCCCCCCATCGACCCCTAAGATCCAACCAGCTAGAGGTTCAAGACCAAATAAAAATAAATAAATATATACGTATTCCTAAAAAAAGTGATTCAAAGAAGTGTAAGACTAATTTGGAGTGCAGAAAAGTAAAATGCGAAGCAAACCGTCATAAAAATTGGGCAAAGTTGACTAAATATGCAAGCTGTACCGCTAGCCGGTAGTATTTTCTAAGCCTCTTAACATCCTACCGGTTAGAGGTTCATGACAATAGAAATTTCATCTTGGGGATCTTTCCAACCAGTAGCACTATGACAAGGGCATTATTCATAAGTCTCGTTTACCTTTGCAAGTGCAGGTCTTAGCGGCTACAATGTTAAGCTAAAACTCTGCTGAACAAGAAACTTAAGATCGTCGAGGGTGAAGGGAACAGCCATACAAAATATAGCGAAATTTCCTTGATTTAAACTCAACAATGTATTCTCCACATGTAAAGCATGTTATAATGTGCATGTCTGGTTCAATCACGTTGCTTGATTGTTGGTAAATCGCAACTGGTGTTACTGGAATAGTCCGCCATATTGCAGCGCTCCTAGTGCTCCTCGGGCGTACCTCTAGCCACTCAAGCTGGAGCAATTGAGGTACGCTCCTTGAGCGTACCGCAACCCACTTTGCGGGCATCCAGCCAAGTAAACAGAAATTGGCTAAGACGCACTGGATAAACTTCTATTTACTTTGCGAAAAAATCTATCACCCAGAGACAAGTGCGCCCGGTGATTTTTAGATCTGCCAAATTCTGTCAAGGCTTATCAAACTTCAGAGACGCCGTCGCCGCTCTTGTCTCATGTGATTGACAGATGTGGTTAACAAATACTTTGCTGTCTCAGTGCGTCCACGCTTGACAAATTAAACATTTGGCAGAGACAAATTTTGTCGAGATTTTTGGCAGGGCCAAACAAATTTTATCAGTCCAGTGCGTCCGGACCCGTACTGTGGTTTCTATTCACAAGAGAGACATTTGTAACTGTAGTAAACTGACTATCCGATGGTTTTGTGTGCTTTGACGGGTTGCGCGACAAAGCTGTGAAAACGAGTGATCGTTCTACGAGAGTTTTAAAGCTCCACCGCTCGTTCTCACAGTACCAACGCCACTGTAAAGGTGGAGGTAAAGCGAAAAAATAATTAGGTAAACAAGCAATGTAAATAAGAAGGTAACTTATAAAGTCTGTGGCTTTCCGGAAGCTTTCGCCGCAATCTGACAAAGTGAGGCCATGAGCAAATTTGAATTAAAAAACTGCTTTAGTTAGTTTTTGTTCAGCATCGCTGCATTGACAACCACCATTCGAATAAAAAAAGAAACTGGAAGTGACACTACGAGTCACTACGATTGTTTACGATCAGATGTGAAACGAGAACAGTGAACACATGTTTTGGCTGCATTCGGAATTTTGTTACACACAGGATATTATTGTTTCGTTTTCTCAGAAACGAAACGAATCTGTTTTGGCTTCAGGGCGATATAATTACCTGTAGGGAAAATTAGACAGTTGAAATGCAGTTTGTTATTGAAAATGTAAACAACCTTGAGCTGGAAAAACAAACTTGTAAAAATAAGGTCCTGAAATACATTAACCGAAAACACTAAAGAGAGAAGTGAATATATCTCAACAAGAAAACTCTGGCGATTCAGAGATTTTAGTTTCGATTGAAGTTGTATTATTCTACTTGAAAAATGCAAACTTTACTCGTTTCGCGTAACTTAGCAATGTAAAGACCTCCGCAAGTGCTGAGGGTCGTAACCAAATTGGGCCAATGGTTCCTTGGGTAAGAAAATCGGCAGAATAAAATAGCCTGCGCTTATCTGTATTTCTGGAAAGCAGCTGTCTTTCTAGGATCTCGTCGTAGCTTTTCAGAAGCTTTCTAGCCATCTAAACGAAGTGAGACCGTCGAATTTTACCTTTACAACGCGAGTAAACCATTTTGATAACCCCAATTTCGAAAACATTTTAAAAACCTATGATTGTGTCTAACTCATAAATAGATTTCGAAAACTCTTTGTATATGCTTCTTTGATTGCGAAAGAAAACGACCAGTTTTCTCAGAAAATCCGCCGAATACGTTCGGTTGAGAAACCACAATTCGCTCTTGTCGTAATAAATTACTCATATCTATTTGAACTGATGCCTTAACGGTGTCTGGTTTCTTCGTGTGTTGTGCTTTAATTAAAATTCGGGATTTTTCCAGGAATGAACACGCAATCGAATGTTTTTTAAGTTATCACTGTAGTAATTCTAAAAGACATTATGCTACTCTTCTATTTCTCATCCTAATGTCACTTTAAGCCCTGCGATTTTCCGACTAAAGAAGAAAGCGACGTTAGCGAAGCGGACGAAATAACATTGTTTATATTCTATGTATACATACTAATACTCGGAGCGACTTTGCACTGTTCGATCGAGAGGTAGCAATATACGCATGTTCTGTTTTGGTGATAAACCATTTGGTTTAACTCTTGTTTACCACGATCATGTGATTGGAAGTTTCTGCACAAGAAACATTCGTCGAAGATGGCGCAAGTCTGATGGCCTGTTTTGTTAAACTAAACAAGCATATCGTCAATGATGTTAATGAGATCTCCTGAGCTCACCTTTCTAGCTTTTCCGAATTGCGTTTCTTCATCTGGTTGACGTAGGTATCAGCAGAGGAGAACGGGCTACGAACAATTTGACGAAGAATTGAAAAACTAACACGGTTTTTCTTGTAAGGGTTTGGGCTCGGTCAGTGTTTACCTCACAATTGATATTAAAATTGAAGCGGGAAAGCCCCGCGGATGTTTTTGCATGAATTATAGAGCAGAAGACCTACTTCCTCAATTATATTAGCTTTCATTGAGTATTTTTCTAGGATTCCTTTCTCGCTTTGGTTATGTTTTGTGATCTCTTTTACCAAAAAATAAAGTTTGACAGAAGACACACTTTAAGAAGTCTTCATCTCTACGTAAACTTGCTTCAAATTACCGAACAGTCTCAGTGGTCTGGAGAGATTAGACAAATCGATAGTATCAGCAGTCTTTTAAGTAACCTGTCGTTGGTAGTCTGTGGTAAACGAGTGGAAGGCATTCCGAGCACTTGGTTCGCGTTGGCGCGATGTTGAGTTAGGGAGGGTTCGAGTCCTCGGAAGTCGACTGGAATTGTAAAAGTAAATCTGCTATAGATTGGACTTGAAAGCAGATACAATTTTGTAGATTTAATACCAAAAATGACACTGATGAGGTGAGATCAAATTCTTTTGATTAAAACCTGAGGGAAAACGGAAGAAAAACCGAAAGCGCTTTCTTTATCCGAGACAATTTACAAATACACTCTCCAGGAGACCCTCTCTAAAAATGGAATCTATGTTGACGAGATATTTGGCTGTTAAAATTTACTATGCATGCGCATGGACTGAGCAATTTAGGCTTATTAAAGAAGCTTCTTGTTATATATGTTTACCTTGACCTTCGTAAGGACAAGTATGTACACACAAGCGTGCCTCCTATTTGCACTTAAGATCTTGTGAGAGAGGTGCTCTGTAAGCTTTGTTTGCTTGATCAAGTCAGAGAGACGGTGAATCTTCTAAGAAATAAAACAAAAAGGCAAAAAGTGTTTGTGCCTGAGCCATATACCTACAAACTTGGAGTTACATCTGTCAAGCTTATTGAGAATTCTTTGATGATGAAAGAGATAATTACATGGCTTTTTGATACGAGTTAAATTTTTGGTAGGCTATGAACAGTCATTCGTTTTTGGAAAGATAATACACGACTTTCATAATGGCGGACATCGCGAGAGTCCTGGATCGAGTTGCATGAAAAACTTGCAATTTCCTGTGTTTTTACCACATCTTCTACAGCCATCTGAGAAGATGCTCCAAGAAAGGGTGGCAAATTTAAACTGACTCCCAAAGGCAACAAATCCTAAACTATGAATCCCTTATCTGCCATAATGGAGTCTTTGTCATCAAATGGTAGATTTAAGAATCCACTCCATATGACAATTTCTCGATTGGAGAAAAAACCTGTATACAGTTGACTTCTGAATGTCACTGCTCCACTGGGAGAAATACCAACCAAACCTTTCAAAGTTGTGTGATTTTTGTAAGCACTGAAAAGTTCTCAATTCAACTGCAAGCTGCTTGGCATTTGACATCTAACCTCAGTACAGTTGATTATGACTCTAGTAGATTTGTACGTTCCCTTAAAAGATTTGGGCATAGTATCGATTAATTTCCTGCTGGACCAAATTTTTATTTCTCCAAACTTAAAGAACATAAAATTGACCCATGTGATAAATATCCTACTTACTGTGGATGCTGATACATTAAATAATTGAGCTAAATGGTCCTCTGGGAATCCTTGCCTTAGTCTACACATGACTATCAAAAATTCATCAAGGGGCCTTAAAGATGTAGCTCTCCCCTTTTTAGTTAGTAGTCTGCTCTCACTGTAACCAGACTCAGTGTTATTGTCAGTTTTTGACCGCCAGTAGCAAATGATAAAGATACTCGAAAACAGCCATTCAAGTGTCCAACCTTTAAAAGCCAGTTTAAAAAGCAGCATTGGAATCTTTTGACTTACAGTTTTCAAAGTTAAACAATCTTTTATTAAGAGCATCACGTTGCCGCTGGGTATCTTGCAGTTGGCGCTTAAGTTCCTCAATTTCCTGTTGGAGTTTATGAATCTTCTTGTTATTGTTGTCAATAATTTCTCTCAAGTAGGCCTCCTGATCGGTAAAAGCAGTTTGTGTTTCGTCTTCGACTTTTAAGCTACAATCTGGTAGATCTGGAACCATTTCGTTTGATAATTCGTTTAACGATTCATTTGATAATTCTTCAAGAACAACAGCTGGGATAGACAACTTTCGTGATGCACTTTTCGAAGCTGTCAGTTCGAAGTTTCTTTCCGCCGGCTCCTTTCCCTTGCGTGGTGATGTTCGAATCAATGAAAACACAGAAGAGACAACTCCATCTCTTAATTCATTTTTGACCGCGAGACATTTCTAATATAACCTTTCCTGAAATACTGGGAGCATATCTTTGTATTTTCAGTTACCTCGAAGTGCTTTCCTTCGTCTCTTCTTATTGCGTGGAGGCATTTCTTCTTAACGGGTTCTCGGTCGGAAATTAAAAATAAGACACTTTTTTCCCATCGTCTTTCCGGTAGAATTTCTTTGTACATTCTGGAACACAGCAATGAGTCGGCATTTCCTCTTCTTGTAAATAATTCGACCGAATCGAGTCAAAACAGATCACTTATTCAACCTTCATTGATCTTTTGTTTACGGTGTTGTTCTCAAGCGTGGCCTTTCTGACCTCGGTTTCATGTTTAAGTAATTACCAGTCTCGCGCGCCGCCGCCATTATGAAGGTCGTGTATGAACAAATGGACGATCTCTTTTCACTCAAGAGCAAAAAATAGCTGATTTAAACAAAAATGTTGAAACATGCTGTCAGCCGGACTTCAGACTCAGAAAGGTCACACATTTTTCTCAAGCCGATTTGATGTACGTTTCGTAGAAACTCGCACTCCTTATTCACCAGATGAAGGTATACTTCTCACATGTCATGACTGGGGTCTGTTAAGCGCTTTTGGCATCTGCCAACTTGTTTTAACATACCAACGGAAAACTTAGCTTTTAAATTAAGTTTTCATGCCACCGTATCAAATCATATGACTTTGGAAAAGCGGAAATTGTGATGTTCGATCAAAGTAAGTCGCGCTTAACAAGCGTATAAAATCTACTGAAAGACATCAGTGCCTAATTTAATGAGTTTGATTTCTTAAGGCTACAGATTACATACCTGATTTGAATACGGTCTGGCTATTGCACGTACGCTGGATCCACGGGATCTCATCGAAATCGAAGTTCCTGAGTTGGAAGAATAATCATTCCATCATCAAAATGTGACTTTCACTCTAGGAAGCAGATTCCAAAACCTGTCCTGCGGTCAACGCAGAAAGACTAAGAGGGCTATTGTTTTATACAGGTTAACTGCAACGTATGCAAAGATTCTCAAGATGTTTCGTTTTGTAAGATCGTTGACGCCTCTTTATTTAGTCAGCCAGCTATTTCCTAAATTGGGCGTGTGGAATGCACCTATACGCGTTTGATTTGTTCAAAATGCTCTCGTAGCTTCGGCAGTTTAAATTTCGTCGTTTTAGCAAGAGCGTTATTCAGTCCGTTTTAGTTTTATTTGCAAACACAAATGCAGTATACAGTACAATTTATGAAGCCATTTCCAGGGCCGTGTCAAATGTAAGTGCCTTTTTTTGGCGATTGTCTATTTAGGTTTTGTTTCGCTTGCGGCTTGGATTTTTCTTCACTGTAACGTTTGTCTATATGTATATTTCTTTCAGTTTTAATCGAACGCTAAGCCAAGGTATCGCTCTACCGCAAGGTGTCTTTGCATCGCTTGTCAAATCGATAAAGATTAAATACGAGTTAAAATGTCATTCCAGGTGTCGGTATGGAATCCGCTTTGTTGGCAGTTATAATAGTATTACGAAAGAAAGAAAAAGGAATTTCAGAGCTTAGACCAAAAGCTCAAAAATCGGTTTACCATTTATTCGTAACTTACCGTGGTACCATGATCAGTAAACAGTTTAAAAGGCTTTCCTAATTCTTATGAACATTTTTTCTCATCTTACCCGAAAAATTTTCAAAATTTTCACAACTTTGCCTATTCCTGTTCGTATGTCCGACCAAGCCTTTAAGGTCATTGACCCCTGTATAGCAACTAGCTTTTGCTTATAAATACAGGCGTTTGCTAACTTGTAAAACTCCCTAAAGAAGTCTACGACAGTTAGACGAAACGCGTCGGAGAATTAAGAAGTTTTACAACTACTGTTCGCAGAGTCCTGCTCTCTAGTTTCGTTTAAAAAAAGCCTTTTCTCATTCTTATGATAGCAACCACTGTGTTCACCAGGCAACCAAATCTCCGATATCTATAGATAACTAGCGCAAGATAAAGATATTTCAAAACATAAGTCTAGTGACGTAGGACTTCGAAAACAGAATTAGAGCGAAAAAACGCGACATAACACGCTCATAAGTTCTTTGAAACGATAAAATTTAAGTTATCAATTTAATCTTGTCGTGAATAATTAAGCTGCAAAAACTTTCTGATAAGCTATTTCCTTCCTTCTGTTGGGTGTTTCGGACGGGTTTTTTCCATCCTGTCTATATTAGTTTCTGGATTTTCTTCTGTGACATCTTAATATGTCCGAAATACCATTAGTTTTTGTTTATTGATAACCTACGCTTGACGATAATTTACGCAACCCAAAAGATTTTCGAAGTCCGGCTCAAAAATAAACGTAAAACTACTTTTGAAAGAAGGGGAATACCCTCATCCAATTAATTTTATCTACCAGCCCAAGTTTCTGGATCAGGCTATTTAAAAACCCAATGTCAACCTCTCCTTAACACGTCATAATGAAGGAACAATCGAAGTAAACAAAGGAGCTTGTCGCTCTAAAAATAATGCAATTTTCAAAACCGAGAAGGCCCTTAGATGTAGCGACTTCAGAGGCAAAACGATTCAGTCCGTTTTTCCCACAACTGGCCAAAAGAATTCAGTCACAAGGAAGTTCTTACAATGGACTCGCTGATTTGCTAATTCAATTTGCGGTAAGCGTGGTCGAGCGAATCAAGAGGTGTTAGCACTTCAAAAGAAAGAACTGGCTTAATTTGTGTTAAAAACCAGGTAAACTTTTGGAGCTTAAATGATCTCTTA